TATATATATATTATGGCTGTCTGTCGATTAAAATATTTAATCGCGATTAATCGCAAGATTGTCCATAGTTAATCGCGATTAATCGCAAATTAATCGCACATTTTTTATCTGTTCTAAATGTACCTTAGAGGAATATTTTTCAAGTTTTTAATACTCTTATCAACATATGAGTGGACAAATATGCTTTATGCTAATGTTTATTATCATTTGAACAATGACAAATATTCTCATGAATATTAAACACAACAACCTCTGAACATTACAAATATTCGCCTCAATTCAACCTGGAACCTCTCTCATACAATACAAATTGTGTGTGTGTGTGTGTGTGTGTGTGTGTGTGTGTGTGTGTGTGTGTGTGTGTGTGTGTGTGTGTGTGTGTGTGTGTGTGTGTGTGTGTGTGTGTGTGTGTGTGTGTGTGTGTGTGTGTGTGTGTGCGTTGGAGCTATGTGCAACTCAAGGCATATGCTCGAACGGGAGCTGCCTGGACGCTGCAATCATGTTGCGCACTATCCGTGCTGAGTGTGCTGACTTTTCGTACAATGTCCCACTGTCTGGCTGCCTGCATAAAGTCAAGTGCTCGGTGCAGTTGTGGCGAAATGTCGCTCCTCTGTTTTCATTTAAATAGCTCCTTAGATCCGTTAGCGCAGCTAGCTAGCACCAGATGCTAACAACAACAATGCACGCAAGGTCTCTCTCTGGCTCGCTCGGGCCACACATACACACACCCTCCCGGTCCTCCCAACAGCCAGTCGGTGCCTGCCGGTGAGCGTGGAAGTGTGGTCTGCCACAAGCGGGCGGCAGGAGCGGGGCTGTCAGCATCAGCTTGTAGATGGTATTTTAAACTCGATGCGCTCTGAAACTACGGGGCGGCCGAGGAAAAAAAATACACATAGGTTAATCGCGTTAAAATAATTAGTGGCGTTAATTTTTTTTTGCGTTAACGCGTTATTAACGCGTTAACTTGACAGCCCTAATATATATATATATACGTATTACTGAAACTATTAAAGTGACACCGTACAACCAGTTAAACACTTTATACCTTAGCAGTAGGAAATAGCAGTAACTTCCAGAGACTACTAGGGCATCTTGGATCAATCCAATCCATAACCTGTAGGGAATACTTTTTCCACTTCTGCATATCAGCAGCTGTGGGGCCTTAACAGTAGATTTCTTAGTACATCTTGGGTAGGGTACACTGGCAGAAAGGTTGAAAGCTTGACACAAGCTGATGCAAGCTTTATATAATCTCAAACTTGTCCTAAATGTCAGGATCCCTTGGCGTCACTATCAACGCAGTGGGGGGCCATAGCATCGATTTTTAACTAAGAGGGAGTCCCATTGACTTGCATAGAGCGACACCCCCCCCCCCTCTCTATCCTATCGGAACCATGGATAGCCAGCTATTTGTTTACGTGTTTAAAGAAGCACCAGAAGCTTATATATACACATCTAAGTTTTTCGTGCCCCACCACTTTTGTACATATAAAAACGCCACTGGATCTTACATTAAAAATTACATGAAGAAAACTGTATATTTCCCTATCCCTAAACAATGAAATAAGAAAAAAAGAAACACATTTTGTTGTCAGTTGCCTAGCAACAGTGTTCACGTAACGTAAAACACTTGAAAGCCAATTATTATCATAGATGTGCCGCAAATATGACTACCAAATTCATTTGAAGGAAGTAACGTTAACATTTAACCATTAAAATAAAATACTTACTTGTGGTCCTTGACTTTGCTACATGTTGAACAGCGATCCTCCAGACTGTTTTTCTGCTCCAGCACACGGCCTCGTATCGGTGTGCTACGGCTACTATTAACGTAGCTATTATAGTAAGGTGCTGGTATATAAATATATATTAACTGTGCTTTTTCCCCCCCAAAAGTTGGAAATGAAACAAGTGAAGTATATGTAATAAAGCTGTGGAGAGCGGGAACTTATAAACCAAAGAGTAACCGCCCTTACGGGACGCTCTAATAGAGAACCGCAGTGACGCATCCTAAAACCCGGATGTAAACTCCTTCCGGTTCCTTTGTCAAAAACGCAATGCAATTTCTCCATAGGATTTTGGAAAATAGCTGGAAATAAGGTCTGTGGTTGACACACATTTAAGAGACGGATCACGTTTTGTTCAGCCGGATAATATCCACATGTCTATCCCTACTTTAATAATTTTCGAATCATAAATCTAGTCGCAAGAAGCAAAATGCTAACGTTATGCTATAAAGGAACTACAGCAGGGTCGCTGCTTCAACGTCACGCCAACTTAAGATCCATATTCAAACATACAGATTGTAAATGGTACAAGTTGAAGTGTTTGTTTGAACAGTTTGCAGGAGGCAGGAACTTGCTTTCAAGCAGAACAGGGCAAACAAACTTAGCGGGAGTGTTTTACGTGTTCGGTGTAATGACGTAAAACGGCCTGGACAACTTCTGTAGTCCTATTCAGCCACTTGGTAACAACCATTGTTTTTCAGACACGTCAACTCTTCAGAAATCACCAGTGGGACACTGCTGATGTATTTAATGTCGTAGAACAAAACGTGATCTGTCTCTTCAATTTGTGTCAAACACAGACCTTATTTGGAGCTATTTTCCAAAATCCTATGGAGAAATTGCATTGCTTTTTATCGAAGGAACCGGACGTGGTAAAAATGCTAACTTACTTCCGGGTTTTAGGACGCGTCACTGCGGTTCTCTATAAGTAAAGCGAATGCACCCGTAAGGACACCTGGCCTCCTATTGGTTGAGGGATTTTTACAGGGTTGTTGCACAAAAAATCCAAGCGCACATCAGAAATCTGAGATCAGACATTTGACGAAAGCACAGAAACAGCCTGAGTGCGAGGAGAAGGTTTTAAACTGGAACACTGGAAATCTGTGCAAGCAGCAATACTGTATATCTGAGTGCAAGCGTACAGTTTGAGCAGAAGCAGAGCAAATCTAAGCGCAAGCAGGTGCTATTTGAGTGCGAGGACAGGTTTGAGTGAAAGAAATACATAATCTGAACGTGAAATCAATCAATTATGCTCTCAAATTTAAAGACCACGCTCTTGAATAAAGATAGGGAATAACCCCCATAGAGAGCCATGTTTCCACTGGTCATATGAAGGCAGCTCCAGTCCAAGTTCCTGCTGGCTGCAGTGCTCCATTAAAGCTGCTACGCTGGAGCAGCTGATTAAGTCCTGCTTTATGGGCCACCTCACCTTGAACACGGCTTACTTAGTAATACGCAAGGGCAGCCGTGACAAATGTTACCTCTGCCTGCAGTGTAGGTAAGTGGAGAGGAACATTAATCTGGAGCGCATGGAAACACAAAGGAAATGGTACAAAGCGTCCTACAGTGATGCTCTGTTCACATGGTTGAAGACTATCTGTGACAGTTTAATGTGAGCTTTGCAGAGGTAAACCCACAACAGCTCTGTGGCTTGAGATGTGATAGCATATTGAGTTGGTCGTTATACAGTACATATGTGTGTGTTAAGACAGCTGTAAATGTCTTGTTAACATTAACTACCTTAAATGTTCATGTCTATTTCCCATTAGTAGCGTAGCATTAATAGAGGCGGAACAAATCTGTGTGTATCATTTCACATGTTAAAAATAATTGACGAAGTTTAAGATGGAAATTAGTGTTGCAGAAGCCAAGATACACTATTGAGGATTCCTCACACTTTGTAATAAGCAACCCACATGTTTTTTAACGATGATTATTTAATTTCAAGTGAGTTTATAAAGCTGCAAGTTACGCGTTTGTGTTTATGTTGGCTTGTGTCACGTGCTATAAATGTGTTCTTAAGCAATACAAGTTATTTATATAAAATGTATACATGCATTTAATTTATTGTATACTTTGATACTATGATTAACCATAAAAACACATATGAGTCAATGGTGGTCAATTATCAAGAAGTAAGGGAGTTAAACTGTAGATCCATGTTACGAAACTAGAGTGTGTGCTCATCTATCGACTGTTGGTTACAATCAGCAGCGAAAACACAACATGCTTCATTCACACAAATCTGGAACTCTGAACGTTTAAAAAAGCCCAGCTGAGCTTGAAAACCCTGTTCACATGGGACAATGTGAATTAAATGCAGTATAACACTGTCTCTAGTAGCAGATGAAAGTTTGGGACTCTTAAGCTCTTAACACACCTAACACTACTGAAAATAAGTGAAACTTTTGGCAGAAAGCTTTTCTTGTAGCCCATTGGAAGGATCCTCTCCTCTACACACAGCTCAACTAAACCCATTTCCTCTCAATGTGAAAATCGTTCATTTCCAAGGTGGTTAATCACCAACTCCCAGCCTCACCGCCACCAAAAAGTCCTTTTATCTTCATATGAAGAAATATATTAGTTATTTTAATAGATTTAGGACTAAAGCTGCAGTCTGACTTCATTTTGCCAATATTGACTTTCTAACATCCTACAAAATGTTATAACCATGTTGGGTAATATAACACCATGCATATCACAAGATGACCCCAAGCCTCACAGTAGTGCCATTTCCATTGTGAAACTAATAAGTATTGGTTCTATTGAGAGTCGACTTGGTTCTTGACTTTTTTCAGTAATATCATTAAAAGATGATTTTTTAATCATTTTCTTCACAACAGCATGGGTCGTTAGAAACATGCTAGCCTAGCTACATGAAGGCTGCTAACAACCATTAATGCAACACTCACTAGAAGGTAGATATACCAGTCCTCTCTATTCTCTGTCCTGCATAGTCTTGAAATATAGTATGACCCCATTTCCAAAATATAATCTAATATTCAGACCAATATAGTATTTAGCAAGGTCTAAAATGATGGGGTTGTGTGTGTGTGTGTGTGTGTGTGTGTGTGTGTGTGTGTGTGTGTGTGTGTGTGTGTGTGTGTGTGTGTGTGTGTGTGTGTGTGTGTGTGTGTGTGTGTGTGTGTGTGTGTGTGTGTGTGTGTGTGTGTGTGTGTGTGTGTGTGTTTTTTTTTCCTTTACTGTACTCACATGTAACGCAGGTGGGGGTTCTTGGAGAAGACACGAGCCTGGATCGAATACAGATTGCTCCTTGTAATCGTTCTATTAACACACAAAAATAGAAACTTGAATAAGACACAATCTGCAGGGACATTATGCTGCTCACTTTGATTTAGTCAAAAGAGTCAAAAAGACAAAACAGTTAATTGAACAGAATACAGTCTGTTTATCATTTCAATTACATTTTAAAAGGAAATATTTAAAAAACCTGTTCAATATGGTTAGTTGCGTTGTTAAGTCCATAATTGTATTTATCATAATTGAGTCCCCAAACTCTTTGAAAATGCAATACTACATTATAGAAGAAAGTTTCTGAAGACATATCAGTTGTTAAAACACTTTGGGACTCTCTCTGAGTACCATCTATTCCATCTCACAATTTATTTGCCTTCAACTCTGCAGTTTAAGGCCCCGTCCACACGGAGGCGATTTCAGTTGTATCCGCTAAAGTTCTTTATCGTATAGACGGTTCGTCCACACGAAGCCGAAACGGAGCCGCGACTTCGGAGCCCGAAACCGATACACTTTGAAAACGGCTCCCAAAGTGGGTAAGTCTGGAGACGAAACGCTTGCGGCTTCGTGTGTACGCCCTATACGATCATTTCCTGAATCGATGACGCCATAGCCCCACCTCTCCGGCTCACCCCTGCGTCATTGCTGATGCGTTTCGCCAACAATAACAACAACAATGGCGGATCACAGGGTTGAGCGATCGACTATTCCTTCGCAATTGAACATCACATTGGATATGGGCTGAACTTGTCCTTGATTGGAATTTTTCCGATAATTTCCCTAGGAGGTGTTTGCAAAAATGTGCTTAAAATGCATGAAAAATGCACATTATTCAAAATGGCTGACTTCCTGGGGGGCGGGGCTATGGAAGGCAATGTGAAATATGTCCGCAATTCCATCAGGTATATCTGTGCCAAGATTCGTGAAGTTTGGAGAAACTATATTTGACTACCACACAATAGGGGGCACTACTGAGCTGTTTTAACAAAAAATTACGATTCGTTTTTTTCACATTCTCGAAAAGGTCGTGGGCTGTGACGTGTGTCCCTAGTTTTGCGTCCGAAGCTCATTTTAGCGCATCGCAATAAAAAAATTAAGTATAGGCCACGCCCACATTCGTCATTCGTTGCGACACTTTAAATCTCAGTTCATACTCACCCCAGAGTACAATTTATTTCGTCCATCCGTTCTTGAGTTATACATTTGTGGTGTTTTTGGCGCCCCCTATAGTCCAAAATGAAAATGCTTTGGTGTGCCTATTCCCCAAGACAAACTGAACCTATCCACCAAAATCTGTGATATTTGGATACATTGTTGATGAGTTATGAGCATTTATTTCTAAGCCCCGCCTTTTTGCATATACGTTTTGATTAATGGCGGCCATATTTATCGACTGAACATGCTCATTTCCTAGGGTAATGTCTCTGACCCTCCACCAATGCTGTATACTAAGTTTGGTGTCGAAAAACAAAAAAATTAAATTTAAGTGAATATTTCACTGTTTGGAACATTATGCTAATTAAAGGGAGTTTAGAGGTTCAATAGGACCAAATGTAGAGCAGGTCCACCCGGATAAGTGTGCAACATTTCAGGTCAAATTAACTTACGGTGCGACTAGGTAAATGTTTCCAAAATGATTTACATATAGGTGGCGTTAGCGATCATGTTGAACAATTTGAACCCATTGACTCCAGAATATCAAATTCTTCATCGGTCCTGGCATCCGTGCAAAATTATAAAACTTTTGAAGCGTCCTAAAGCCCTCAAAACAGGGTTCTAAGAACTGGAAGAATAATAATTCCTAGGATAACAATAGGTTCCTCGCACTTCGTGCTAGGACGCCGTTGGGTCTTAGTGCTCTCGTGCTCGGGCCCTAATAATAATCGTCATCGCTCTTATTCGCTGCTTTTGGTTTATTTTGTGGTGGAAGTACAGCACCACTTACAGGCCCGGAATATGTACTACAGCGTCTCCAGCGGTTTCGAGCGGTTTCGTGTGGACGGAAGAAATCGACTTTTTTGTAATCAACTTCGGTTCGAAATCCGTTTCGTCTCCGTGTGGACGGGGCCTAAATCTTTACACTATCATCTCTAATTCAATTTATTTTCTGCTTTCCAATCTAATCACAGCGGGATGTAGCTGAAGGATAGGTGGACATTTTCTCCTCTAGCGAGCTGTTCAATAATAATGAGCTGGTGAGGACAAAGGGAGGGCTGGTTAAAGAAAGAGAGAAAAAGGTCATACCACAAGATTTAACTGGGTTTACAACTGCATCACACCATTGTACCCATTGTTTACATGTCTTAGAAAAATAATCGATTCTGAATGGTCAATTTGGACATTCAGCGGCCTCTCCTTTTTTCAGAGCAGACTGTTGCTAAGGAATGCTCAGATTAAGGGACTATGTGGAAGTAAACACTAAAGGGGACAGCAGCAGCAGAAGACAGACGGGAAGTAAACACTAAAGGGAACAGCAGCAGCAGAAGACAGACGGGAAGTAAACACTAAAGGGGACAGCAGCAGCAGAAGACAGACGGGAAGTAAACACTAAAGGGAACAGCAGAAGAAGACAGACAGGAAGTAAACAATAACAGGAACAGTAGCAGAAGACAGGCAGGAAGTAAACACTAAAGGGAACAGCAGAAGAAGACAGACAGGAAGTAAACACTAAAGGGAACAGCAGGAAAAGACAGACAGGAAGTAAACACTAACAGGAACAGTAGCAGAAGACAGGCAGGAAGTAAACACTAAAGGGAACAGCAGAAGAAGACAGACAGGAAGTAAACACTAAAGGGAACAGCAGGAAAAGACAGACAGGAAGTAAACACTAACAGGAACAGTAGCAGAAGAGAGGCAGGGAGTAAACACTAAAGAGTACAGCAGAAGACAGACAGGGGGTTGATGCCAAGCTGCTTATTTGTCATTTCCTCCCTCCTCGCTCAAAACACAAGTTGTTCTGGTGCGCCATCTTACGGAGCGTTCCATGGCACTTCCATCAGTTGCTCCCAGTAAATAGACTTAATTCATACCTTTTTTTAATCTGTAAAACCATGTTAAAATCAATATGTTGTATCAAATTATTGATTTAATTAGTAAGTAGCAGGCTAGGCTGGATATTGTGCAGCGAGTCCTTGTAGTGGAAGAAACCTGACAGGCTGATCAGGATCCAACACAAAGCGTTCAAATAACTAAGCTACATTTTAAATGTGTCAAGAAAGAAGACTTAAATGTGCCTGACAGACAGTTGCCAACTGGTGCACTGTGTATCTCCCACAATAGCTCTTTCGGATATGAAAGTAAAGCTGCAGAGTAATAAGCCTGTTGTAAGTGGGAGAGCCAGCTGGAGGTTTGTAGCTGTTCCACAGCTACATCACTCCTCTCAGAATCAACCCAACATACATCTTCTGTTTCTTCCACTTTCTGTTCCTCTATTATTTGCCTTTTAAGCTGTCATTGGAACACTTTCAAAAACCTTTCAAAAAGTACATATTCTTTACTTCTCCAATCATTTTTCATGTTATTGTGCTACTTGTAAAAGACTGCTTAAAGAAAAGAATATGGAGAATATTCAAAAAATATTCTAACCCTAAGACATTCAGCCTCCGCTGTGCTTTGTGTCAAGTTAAATTAAGCACATTTTAGCATGTATATGCTAACATAAGATATTGAAAGCACTATACCTGCTAAATATCACCAATGTTAGCATTGTCAATTTGAGCATGTAGCCATCATAGCTTAAGCAGAAGCATTTAGCTTAAAGGTCCCATGTCTTGGCCATTTCTACTGATCATAATTCCATTGTTGAGGTCTACTAAAATAGATTTATATTGTGCAATTTTCCAAACTCGCATTGGTTTCTCATACAGCATCTCTGTAAAGTATCTGTATTCACTCTCTGTCCTAAACGGCTTGTTGGAGCTCCTGCCCCCCCCCCCCCCTCCCTGTGAACCCAGTGGCCGTCTGCGAGACAGCGAGACACAGCGAAACCCAGCCGGAACACACACACACACACCCGCAGCCTGGCTGGGAGTCTCACTGAGATTGAGTGTGTGTGTGTGAGGAAGTCCGCGGATTGGTCAATTTGGACCAATCCACGGACTTAACGTAACGGCTCCACGGACTTAACGTAACGGCACCACGGATTGGTCCATTTGGGTATGGGCACCTCACTTAGTACCAGGAAGAAAAAGAGAAATCTCCAACGAGGCGTTCTGGGGCAGCACAGACAGGTATTTTCTGTGTTAGAGTTTTACTCGCTACAGGGTGTACTTTGAGGGTTTGTGACTCTGCAGACCGTTTACATGCAGAAAAACCTTCATAACACACAAGGGAATGGGTAATAACCAGAAAAGCATGACATGGGACCTTTAAAGCACCACTTGGTCTATGTGCAGCCTCACAGAGCTGTTAGCATGGCTTTGGACTCACATTATGGTTTTGATCATTGAATTGCCTGATGAACTTTAAGGTTCCATAATGATTTTACTTGTTGTCTCTATTGTTTTTGTGAGGGCCACAGCCACATAAAGCAATTACACTTCCCCCTCACCTCCACTAGTTTACCTCATTTTAATTGCACTAAATCACAACCGTAATTAACAACACACATTTGATTCAAATGGTAAACTTTATATTTGCTTGTAACTTGACATTATTTAATTCATTTTCACACATTTTAGCACAGCTAACGCAAGTATTTGTTTTTATTAACGACTTTCTTTGTCTTTGAGTTACCGTGGTCATTGGGGGAGGTTACTTCCTGGTTCAGCAAAAGGCGTGGCTGAGGGCTGATGAGGGATAAATACTGCAAGCAGCCGATCGGGCCAAATTGGGATAAACCACATGCTTCCATGTAAAAGAGGGGTATGCGTTTTGTCAGTGTTTCTTTTGTATTCTGTCAATCTCAATTACCCCTTCTTTTCTATTTTCTTATAAGAGTTATTTTCTCTCTTGTATAGGCCTAGTTATTAGATTATTGGTTTATAATGTTTTTTTCCAAATTTGGGTAAAAAAAAAACACTTTCTTTCAACTTAAAAAATGATCAAAGTAAAGGATCTTTACCTACCACTTAATGTATTCATCTTTTCTGGTAGACATGACACCAACATTAAACTCCAACTACATTGAAACGTTTACAGTTTTGTGCTTGAAGCAAGTGCACAGGATGTGTTGAATTCACTAAGTTACTTTGAAGTGCATCCTCTTCAGAGCAACAGGCAGCCAATGTTAAGAAGCTCTTAACAGTGTGCATGTGCACTCACTCTTAAGTGCTACTTTTGGAAAACTTTTGTTAGAAAACACTCGACTTCTGGGATTATACTAATCTGGAAGCAGTGCCAAACACCTGACTTTAGCTGTCTCTCAGTTGTGTACTCCTGTACTAACATTTGCAATGTTTAGTGCATAAGTGCTTCCCAATGCAACATATGGAAAAATGTCGTGCAGTATGAGCAACTGTTGCACTAAAAACTGCCACAAGTGGAGTGTTAAACACTGCATACTTCTTTTGCTGAATGATCGCCATCCTGGCTATGAATTGGAAGTTGTGGGACGAGCTGTGATTGTGGTTGCTTCAGTACTACTTATTTGTATAGTGCAACACAGCACTATATAAATAAAAGACTGTGGTTTTCCTTAGTATTCTACAAATGTATGCTGGTATTGACAAGAAGCCAACATTAATTGTATGGGTTAATTGAGCGATCTGTAACAATTTGCTACCATGAACGATGACGTTGCTATAATAAAGCTAGCTAGCCAACATCCTTTTTTGTGAGGGCACAGCCATTGTCTGCGTTTAAAACAAGACTACATGGTCTCAATTCACACACAGCGAATGTGTTTATAGTGTACAACACTCTTTGTACTAAGGGATGTGTCCAAATTGAGATACAGCGCCTGAGTAACTGACACCATCAGCTCCCCTGATTGTAACAACCCTGCTGAGTGGTGATGTTCCTGCTTATTTGAACCAACCTGGCCTGATTGAAGGCAAAGTGGACAGTACTGTTATTATAAAATGAGAGGAGACAATCACACCAATGGACAAACTAGATGGGAAATGTTTCATAATGTCTCGATTGGTTTATTAACGAGAACTATTATTTCATGTGACATTTCACCCTGTAGAAGCATTTGGGAAATATTCAGAGATACAGAAGAACATTTTAAACTCACAGCCTCTGTAAGCCGGTGTAGAGCTCCATGTCCACATCCCTCAGCGTCTGCAGGCCAGTCCAGTTCTCAATGTGTCTGGAAAAACGACAGACAAGACATATTAGTAATGTTACAGTGAATTATGTTATTCATTATGGCTAAATCGATTAAACATCAGACAATTGTGATTATCACAGTGTTACCATTGTATCATCAGAAAAGGGAATTCAAAAACATGCTAAGGGCAAGAAGGATAAGTGATAGACTTAAAAAAAAAGATAGAGCAAAGTAACAAAAACCACCCTACTGATTGAGTTGGGGTAAAGCAAAAGGCATCAAAACGTTAAGAAATAACAAAGTGGAATACCTTGAACGACAGAGAAGAGAAACAGAGCAGCAAAGACTAAATACACAAGGGAGGAGGGGAAGGGAAGATTAGGGGGAAACACACTAAGACAGTGAGTCTCTCCTGAAAAACAAAGATACGTGGCAAATACCCACACCACGGAGAGACCAGAGAATGTTTTTTTGAACTTGTATTGTAATCTTCCAAATAACTTGATTTTAATCTAATTAAAAAATGATTGAAAAATGATTTACTGCGTTTGTGAGTTTTTCATGGTCATATTTCACAGGTGGGCTCACATCCGATGCAAAGCTGATTTTTTTGGTGGTGCGTTTCTATATAAAGGCAAAGATGCACATTCAGGCAAGGTGATGCAAATTATGTGAATGTGAAGTGTGTGTATGTCGTGAAATCACGCTGCCTTGCGAAGGCCAATCAGAATTGAGATTGTCATTACTAACATTGTTGAAATGGGATAGATCAGCCAGTTCACCTGCACACAGAACTCTACAGTACCTCAAAAGGGCAAATGGAGCAAAGCTCTTCTGACTTATAAAGGTGTTGTGTTATTGTTGTCATAGAAAAAAAAAAAACCCCGCTGGGACGTTTTCTCTGATAAAACGCGAGTAGGAGACTCTCTCCAATGCCCTGCCAGTGCTTTTTTGACCAAAGAAAAGGTGCTCAGTGGACACAGGTACGTACTGGCAGAAGCTTTGTAATATACACACAGGTTTAATACAAACCATTCTAACTGATTAATCAAACCCAATAGGCGCATTCACACCGCAGTACTTTTCCCACAAAGGTTCATGAGAACTTAGTTCATGAGAACTCTTTTGTCGCGTTCACACCAAAAAGAGCCGGTACTAAAATTAGTTCATGAGAACCTTTTTGCGGCTCTCTTGTGAGAAAAGAGCTATATTTCTGATTGGCTGGGCGGATTGCAAACCACGCCCCGTAAAACTCCCAAAAAGTTTTGTGAAGCCGCCATTTTATTATCCTCGCGTTAGCATTATTAGCATTAGCCCAGCGCAGAAACGCAGAGAGACTAATTTATGGCAACACAAAATAAAACATGGGAGCGGTGGAGATGAGGAGGTGTCGGCGTTCTGGCGATTTACTCGGAAGGCTTCAGTAGAAGCTGCTGGGACTCCCAGCAGCTTCTACTGAAGCAAGTCCCCAACTCCGGGGACTTCCGGCCGGGGACTTTGGGCGGCAGTATACGCCGTGAAGTGGTTTGCGGCCTGCCAGTAAACCCAAAGCAGAAGAAGAAGAAGTGACGTCAGCGGCTTCATTTGCCTAATCCACCCCCAGGGACTTTTTCCAGTGTGAACACGATCTGCTCTTTAGTTCATCAGAACTAAAGAGTTCTCATGAACTAAGTTCTCATGAACCTTTGTGGGAAAAGTACTGCGGTGTGAATGCGCCTAATGTGGTTCCTCCATAGTCACAGTGCTCATGTATACTGGTCTGATTTCACTCACTGCTTTGGTTTGTTGGCCGTGAAAGTTTGTAACATGGCCGTGTGGGAGTCCAGCAGCAGAAGCAGCATCGTGGCCCATTTTACACCCAGCAGCAGATGGCAACAAATCAAAACACGCAAATCACATCACACTGAACATCTGTTTACCCCAGAGACCCCCTCCTGGCTCTGACTCTCTGAGTGTGTGTGTGTGTGTGTGTGTGTGTGTGTGTGTGTGTGTGTGTGTGTGTGTGTGTGTGTGTGTGTGTGTGTGTGTGTGTGTGTGTGTGTGTGTGTGTGTGTGTGTGTGTGTGTGTGTGTGTGTGTGTGTGTGTGTCCTTACAAAGGTATGCATGCAAAGATCAGTTAGAGGTTCTGTTTGTCCATCTGGCTTCCTGGAATTGATTCAGTTAAACACCTCTGCATATTTACTCTATCAAATTGAAATAGCTTTATTGGCATGGCCATAATTACGTACAGCACTGCCAACAAATGTGGCTTTATTTTATTCATCACACAAAAGACGAACAGTGTCCAAAGACTTGCCTTAACCCACAGACTGGTGCATGATGGGATAGACTCAAACTGTCATTCCAGTGGGCGTTGCATATTGATTGGCTGAGTTCATTTTTAGCTGTTAGCAGCATCTGCCCCCCCCCGAGGGCCTGCTGATTGACTTATTGAAAGGGAAATCCATTATCCATTTCACTGTCTAAACACAGCAGTCACTGGTGCCACTGTGAGCACACACACACACACACACACACACACACACACACACACACACACACACACACACACACACACACACACACACACACACACACACAAAGTTGCCTTTTTTGCATAGATTACAGAATGGACTGAACACACTGCAGCCTTTTTTAAATGCAGCTCACACTAGAGCTGGAGCAAATCAAACGCGTACTGAGAAGAGACTTTGAACTGACAACATGCTGTCTTTGGAAACACCACTACTGGTTTTAAATAACAGCGAGGACTACAATGCCACGCGAGTGAAGAAAAACTTGCTTGAGAATCAATGAATCAATAACAAATAGATTTGTTTTACCAAGCTACAATGGTGGGGCTGTTGGTCCTTTGTGTATCAAAGTCTTAAGTACCAACCAGTATTCTCTTGGAATTGACTGTGGATATTCACTGCGTCTAGAGGATGACCTTTTCTCTGTACCTTTATTAGGCTCAATATTCAATATATAAGAGAAATCAAAATGTGCAGAAACCTTTTCTCTTGAAATGTCTTGGCTTCTTTTACATTACATTACATTTGTTAGATGCTTTTATCCAAAGCAACTTACTTACATGCAATACTGTGGACAATCCCCACAAGAGCAATTTGAGGTGAAGTGTCTTGCCCAGGGACACAACAACATGCAGACTGCAGTGGGACTCAAACTAGCTATCCCCTGATTTGAAGTCCAGCACACTATCCACTGAGCCACAGCCTTCTTCTACTCAGAACATATCATATGTGTGTGACCTGAAGAGATTGGTCTGAACTCAAGCCCATGAAGGAGTGAGTAACTTTAGTTCAGCTTAAAAAAAAGTCCCTCCGTGAGTTGGTCACAAAATATATATATATATTGATAACAGCGTCTGTTATTGGTGTTTCGGTTATGACCAATCAGGTACCGGTAACAATTTAGTACCGGTTCTCGATACCCTTCCCTACGAGTTTAGAGAGTCTGAAAACATGGCTGATATGAGTGTCTATTAGTATTTGTTAAAACACAAGAAGCTGCTTTTTTAGGAACTGCTTTTTCACTTTATGGACTCAAGAACGTTTTCGTTTCACTGTAAAACTCTTAATAAATCCCCAGTATTATATAGAATAAGTTACAATTTAAATATGTTTTTGATGCCAACACTGACAACCCCCCCCCCCTTTCCCTTCCACATCTTGGCAATTTGTGAAGAGTCAGACCTCTCTTCCCCCCCCCACACACAAACCCTCAATGTTTGCCTGCCAGGACACAGAAGGATCTGCAACATTACAGCAGCCTCCTACGCTCTCTGCCTCCAAAGTGTGAGAGCCACAGAGATGGAGGTGAGGAGAGGGGGAGCAATGATGCTGGCTGAGCGAAAAATAGAACCGAGAGGAGATGGCAGGTGGATTTGAGCTGCATACCAGCATTTTTAAAGAGAACCAGCACCTGAAGCTTTTCTGTTACACAGGATTACTCAGGCTCACCTGCAGGTTCTGTGTATGTCCTTCAGGATTCCTTCCTCCTTCCTTTTCTTTCTGTGTCTCTCTAGTGCCTCCTCCTCTCTCCACTAATGTATTCATGCCTTCTGAAAGGCAACCTGTCATTAAAATAAAGAAAGGTCTCCTGGGGCCAACAAGCTGCTACCATCATCTCCAGCTATCATACACTATTTACAGCAGCCGGAGAAAGAGTGAAAGGATCAAAGATGGAAGAAACGAGATAAGAAGAGAGATGGCTTAAAGAATTGCTTGTGATTTCGCCTGTCTTTAAATGGTGTGTGTGTGTTTGAGTGTGTAAGGTGTGAGGGTTGAAACATGTGTGTGTGTGTGTGTGTGTGTGTGTGTGTGTGTGTGTGTGTGTGTGTGTGTGTGTGTGTGTGTGTGTGTGTGTGTGTGTGTGTGTGTGTGTGTGTGTGTGTGTGTGTGTGTGTGTGTGTGTGTGTGTGTGTGTGTGAGGGAGGTTGTGGATGGTGTGCTGACATCGAAACAGACGCAGGCGCATTTGAGTATTAAACTGTCTTTGATATGTGTGTGTGTGTGTGTGTGTGTGTGTGTGTGTGTGTTTTTGTTTGTGTAAAAGTTGACAGTACGTGATTTCCCATTGCTCCATTGCTTCATGGCCACATGTAGAGAAAATAAGAGGATGCTTTTACAGCATTGCCTCAGTCAGATCTGTTGACCTGATGCAAGCCTCAATTAGCGAGCTAGTTATTTACATTGCAGCTAGCCTCGGGTGAAATGTGTTATCTTAGAACTGTTGTTAGAGCAATGTGTTAATCTGCTCATTTTGTTCTTTCAGATACTCTGATGCGCCCCTGGAGGCCCCCACAGGCTTTGTGTTACAGAACCAACCATTTTAAGATGATGAATTCACTTTCAGTTGAATCTGATTAAGAGGCTACATTCATTCTGAGGTCCACTTACCAGCGGTAAAACGGCTCCGCGAGGACGTTACAGTTATGTTTCTAAGGAGAGCAGTGCAACAGAAGGACACATAGCACAATTCAGCTATATATGTATCTACTCTTTGCCTAAATTAGCATTTTTAAGTACTGTAGACA